GTCCCTCGGGGAGGGCGGCTGGGCTGGAGCCGGCGGAGTCTGTACGTGGGGCTCTAGTTTTCCCTCCCCTGACCCGTCGGGACCCGGCCGCCCTCGGTGGGTGGCTGGTGCCTCCTCGGCTCCACGTCTCTCCCTGTGACTGAACGGCCGCCGTGCCCCCTCAGCCCGGCTCTGGCCCCGCACCGACTGAGGGACTGGGGGGCCGGGGGAGCCTGTCAGGGCAGTGGGTCACTCTGCTGTTAAATGGCCTTAGCCAGGCCAGCCCCAGAGCCCCAGGGTACCCGGCCAGCCCCACAGCCCCAGGCCAGCCCCAGGGTACCAGGCCGATTGGGCAGCTGTGAACATGGAGAGGGCTGGTCTGCTGGCCTGTGGGGCCAGCTCAGAGGTGCCGCATGTGGGGAAGTTGGGGGATGAAGGGGGCTCTGCTGCTAACTCCCTGCATCAAGCACAAATTGTTTCCCAAGTAAACCTTGGGGGGGCGGGAGGGGAGGGGGCTGAGGGATCAGGGAACTCCTCAGCGATAACGGGGTGGAGTCACCAGTGGGCTCAGGGACGAGGGGCGTAGGCAGGTGCAGGGGTAGAGGACTTGAGGGGACATTATCCGCGTGAGGGGCCTAGTGATGCCAGCACCACAAGCCCTGCAGTGGGTGGGTGCGTCCGCCGTGGGCCCCGCCAGCCGAGCAGCCTGTGCTGGGCCGGGCTCTGCCTTTGGCATGGCAGAGAAGCGCTGCTGCCCGGCCGTGGCCGTCGGGGGGCGGGCCCCGGTGAGGTTCCTGTGGGGCTGGGCCCTGAAACCGCCCCAGTGGGTGTTTGTGTTACTCGCGTCCCTGTTCCTAGCTGGGCTGGATCCAGCTCCTCTGCTCTGTGCAGCCAGTGGCTCAGGCTGTTCAAACACCCGGGCTGAGTAAATATTTACCTCTGCAGGCTGGCTAATGGCGGGAGACAAAAGAGCCAAGTCATGGGAAGCCTGGGCGGGCGGGCGGGGGGAGCGTAGCCAGCTCATAGGCACCCAGGAGGGGCTGGTGTTGCTGGAGGGTGGGGACACTCCTGCCCGGGTGTGCCACCTCAGCCTGGACCCCTCGCCTGCGGAGCAGGGCAGGCCTGTGCACGTCCGGGGTGGGGAACGGGACGTTGGGGGCAGTGAGGGGCAGAGCTGGGCGCGTGACGAGTGCCGTATTTACAGTAGACACTGGGCTGTTTGTGGTGCTCTTGGCAGGAGGCCAGCGCTTGCTCCAGCGGCGCCAGGTGCTCTGAACATTAACCCCCTGAAGCAGCCACAGCCCTGCGGGGCTCTGGGTTGGAGTCACCTTCTGGCCCCGTCATGTGCCCCCCGTGCTGCCGTGGGGCGGCGGAGCTGGAGCGGGTCCCTGATGTCTCTCCCTGCTGGCAGGGATGGGGTGGCCGGTATCGAACGTGACTGGGGTCTGTTCGCCAGGGCTAGGCCCAGTGAGCCCCTCCCCGGGCCCAGAGCCCCGGTTTCTATGCCCACAGGGATACGTGGTGGTTGCCTGGCTGGGGGTCCTGGTTACCAGGTAACGGTGGATTGGCCCAGCCTGCCTCTAACTCCATCCCCTCTGCTTCCTCCCAGATCGCCACCGGCAACGGCACCAACGCCTTCTACACCAACCCTGCCACGTCAGACAATCTCTAGGGGCGCCACCCTGAGGACTGGTGGGAGCAGAGCTCCCACCATCGCCATGTGCTTCCTGCAGCTCGACTCCAGGGTGCTGGGCAGGGCCGACAAGGCAGCCCCAGGCAGGGGTTTGCTGCACGGGGCAGAGGGGGTATCAGCCCTGGGGACTCCCCCCCCCTGCAACTCCCGGCCCTGTGGGAGGGGGAGCTGCTCCAGCTCCGATTGGGCCTGTGGGGCAAGCACTGATGGGGCAAATTCCTCCCCCCGCTCCACAAGGGAGGGCAAAGGGGCTGCTCCAAATATACCCCACCAACCAGCCTGGGCAGTGCAGGGAATACGACAGGGACTCCCCAGGGGAGCCCCCCCCCATACTGTCCCAAGCTGTGTATGGGGTGTGTCCCTGCTCCTCCCCCCACAACCTCCCCGCAGCCTGGGGAGCTCTCTCTGGCCCAGCTCCTGCCTGTTCCCAGGAGGTGGGGGAGCATCAGATGGTTCCGGAGCAGCCGAATTTGAATGCATGAAGGAACTGGATGAACAATGCAAGGGAGGGACCCTCCTCTGTCTCCCCCCAATTCCAAGCCCCTCCTGCCCCCAATCACTTGCCAAATGTATCCTGCCATGGGGCCCCCAGTATGCAGTGTTCAGGTTCCAGGGGTCGCGTTTGCCTGCACCACTGGCCTGGGGCTCTGTTTTTATACCTGTGATCTGTAACCACTTGGCTCTGTGACGGCCGCCCCACCGTGCAGGGGGGTCACAATGTCCTTGGGAAGGTCTGTATTTACAGTGCTGCACAATAAAGGGATCTGTGCTGAGTCAGGCTCTAGGCTGGTTTTCTCCTGCACCTCTCGGACCTCTGCTTCAAAAGGGTTGGAGCAGTGGCTGCCCTGGCCCTGTGACGGGGCAAGGTGGGGCTGTGCCAGCCCTGAGCTCTCGTTCTGCAGGGCAGCTGGAGTTCTCAGGGGCTGAACGGCTCTTGCTGGGGATCGGGGCCTATGGCGGAGCCGCCCTTCAGTGCCATCTCTTACTGGCTCACAGCATGTGACGGGGAGAAACCGCCTGCCACTGCCCTCCTCCCTCCAGCTGTGTGTTGACGTGTGGATCCAGGCGCCCAGCCTGGGACAAGCTGAGACTCATAGGACGGGCTGGGCAAGGCACTGGGCAAACATTGAAATGCCAGAAAACACGGAAACAAAAGTGAATAGTTATGTAAGGAAATGACTGTGGGCTAGGCAGCACCACCCCAGCCAGAGCCTCAGGTCCCTGGACCCTTGAGCTCCCTGGATCCTGACTCAGGAAAGCTGCAGCTACAGCCCCAAACCCAAACCCCTGTGCCCCAGGAGGGCCTGACCCCAGTCTGCTGGTATGGAGTGCACCCAGGAGGGGCTGGGACCCATGGCCATCACCACGCCCTGGGGGTCCATGAACTCCTTCTGGCCCCTCGATGGGGAGGAGGAAGCAGGAAATGCTGCTGTCTCCTGGCATGTTTTGAAGCTACTTTCTCCCAGAAGCAGTCAGGCGGGATGCGTGGAGAAGCCTGTGACGGCGTGGGAATTATGCATAATATATTGGATGAATATTGTGTTTCTCAGTTTCCCCCATGTGGTGCATGGGTAACTAGTTGTGGAGGAAATAGTTATTTGCTCTTTGCAGAGACACAGGCACGCTGCCTGGAGGCCCAGGGAGAGTCCCAGAGGACAATGGCCACTTGAATTGCCTGGACTCTTGGTACCTAGCAAAAAAATGACCCTTGCTCTCCCCCAGAGCCAGATGGGTGTGACTGGCTGGGTGACAAAGGACTGGGGAGGGTCCAGGTGGGGCTTTTACCTGTGGGCTGCTGGAGGCTGGAGAAGCCTCTAGACTGGGCCTGAAGAGGGGTCAGAGGGCTCTGGGCTGACCCAGCTGGACTTTGCTGTAACTTTCTGGTCTCTGTGATAACTAAGGCCGCTCTGTGCTGTGTCCAGACACCTGATAACCCTCCTGCTGTCACCCCGCTGGCTGAGAGTCCCTACAGAGTCAGGAAGTCGGGGTGCAAGTCTCCCCAGGTGTCCAACTCAGGTGGAGTCGCCGCAGGGAGCTCACGGTGTGACCCAAGGGTGCTGAAGGTGCCAGAGGTTCGGTCCCAGGAGGCAGTGAAGCCGAGGGGCTGAGCCCACTGAAAGTGTGACCCTAAGGGCGGGGTGTGTGTGAGGGGACGAGGCAGGTGGGGAGGTGGACATGAGGGGATAAGGCAGGTGGGGTGGGACATGGGGCTGGGTGTGAGGGGAAGAGGGAGGTGGAGGTGGGCTGTGGGGCTGGGTGTGAGGGGACGAGGCAGGTGGGGTGGGGTTTGAGGGGATGAGGCAGGTAGGGGTGTGGAAATGAGGGGATAAGGCAGGTGGGGATGGGTCATGGGGCTGGGTGTGAGGGGATGAGGAATTTGGGGGTGGGTCATGGGGCTGGGTGTGAGGGGATGAGGAAGGTGGGGGTGGGCCATGGGGCTGGGCGTGAGGGGATAAGGCGGGTGGGCCGTGGGGGCTGGGTATGAGGGGAAGAGGGAGGTGGGAATGGGGGTTGAGGGGACTGTGACGTTGCACTCCATATGTTTTATGGAAATATGCTGATGAGAGAGTGAATATGATGTAACTGGAATATGCTTCATGCAAAAGGTCTCTTGTAAGGTGAGTGTGATCATCCGATTTGTAGGAATGTGTCATTTCTTGTATCTGAAGCTAGAAATATGAAGTATTACTCTGAACTCTTACTGTAACTATGCAAAGTGTGGGCCATTAATGGTGGTTTAGAATCTTGATGGTTCCCATTAACCAGGACAATTGGTTGTAAATGGCTCTGTTTACTTGTAAGCCTTCCTGTGTTCCTGTGAGTCAGGCCGGAAAGAATGGAGGCTGGGGTCTCACAGGACATGTGATCATGTCACCTGGGACTGGAATCCATCTTAAACCTGGTGCTTTTCCATTTAGAAGCAGGGGTGGGGACCCAGAGAGACAAAGGATTCCCGCCTTGTGCCAAAGCTATAAAAGGGGGTGGAAAAGAACAAAGCGGGCTGCCAGTCATGAGAAATTCCCTAGTTACCACTTGAGCTGGAACTAACAAGAACTGTACCAGGGGAAAGGATTGGGCCCAGACTAAGGTGTGAGCATCAACTGCTGGGAATGGGCCACATCCACCTTGATTGAATTGGCCTCATTAGCACTACAAAAAGTAATTTTACCTGTTAATATTCACACCTTCTTAACAACTGCTGGGAAAGGGCCACATCCACCCTAATTGAATTGGCGTTGTTAGCACTGACCCCCCACTTGATAAGGCAACTCCCATCTTTTCATGTGCTGTGTATTTATACCTACTTACTGTATTTTCCACTCCATGCATCTGATGGAGTGGGCTGTAGCCCACGAAAGCTTATGCCCAAATAAATGTGTTAGCCTCTAAGGTGCCACAAGGACTCCTCATTGTTTTTACTGATACAGACTAACACGGCTACCGCTCCGTAGTCAGTAACAGAAGCTTCCTGGAACATCTGAGGGTGAGATTTACCTGTATTCAGTTTCTTAAATGTATTAGGCTTAGACTTGTGTGTTTTTGTTTTACTTTGCTTGGTAACTTACTTTGTTCTGTCTGTTATTACTTGAAGCCACTTAAATCCTACTTTTTATATTTAATAAAATCACTTTTGTTTATTAATTAACCCAGAGCAAGTAATGAATCCCTGGGGGAGCAAACAGCTGTGCATATCTCTCTATCAGTGTTGTAGAGGGCAAACAATTTATGAATTTACCCTGTATAAGCTTTATACAGAGTAAAACGGATTTATTTGGAGTTTGGATCCCATTGGGAACTGGGTGTTGGGGTGCTGGAGACAGGAATATCTGCTGAGTGTTTTTTGGTTAAAGTCTGCAGCTTTGGGGGGGTGGTTCAGACCCTGGGTCTGTGTTGCAGCAGACTAGCGTGTCTGGCTCAACAGGGCAGGGTTCCCAAGCTGGCAGGGAAAATGGGCTCAGAGGTAGTTTCAGCACATCAGGTGACAGTCCCAAGGGGGTCTCTGTGACCAAACCCATCACAGGGACGAGGCAGGTGGAGGTGGGGCTTGAGGGGACAAGGCAGGTGGGGGCTGGGTGTGAGGGGACGAGGCAGGTGGGGGTGGGCCGGGAGTCCGTTAGCACCCTGGCTAGTCCATCCCAGTACCCAGTCAGAGCAGTGCCACGTCCTCCCTTAGCTCCAGTCTGGTTGCTGGCACTTGCAGGGGGTACAGGAGGAGTTCTCATGTGGCCTCACGCCCTTTTGCCACCCCAAAACCTTTAGGTTTGAAACTGGGCTGGGGTTCTGCCATTGCCCTTCCCCCTCGTCTGCCAGGGAGTGAGGGGGGCAGGACCCCACCTGCCTCCATGTATCAGCTGCCTTGGCCACAGACCGGGGTGTCCTGCCCCCTGGTTGGAACAGGGAGTGATGCCATGATCATTGGTGCTTACCCCAGCCCTCTGGGGCTCTGGTGCCCCGGGGAATGGTGAGACCAGGGTGCAGGGTGCCCCTGCAGGCCCCCTCTGGAGTCGCATCCCAACCCCAGGGCTGTGTGTATGCCAGGAGCCCAGCCTCCCTTGTGGGGTTAACCTGTTGCCCTCACTCCCTGCCCCCCTTCCAGGGGGGCTGTGATTTGGGCTCTCTCACCATGGCCCCTCTCTGACCAGGCCCCTGTGTTACCAGCAGCATCCTTCCAGCTGCTCCCCTATTCCCTGGGGTCTCTTTCACCCCTGGACAGGGGAAAACATGTTTGGCCATGGTCCTGCCCTGCCCAGGGCCACCCCGTGCTCGGCTGGGAGCTCAGCTCCCACCATGCTCAGCTCTGCCTTTTCTTTCCCAGGGGGGTAGGCAGTGTCCGAGCCAGCATAAGTCACATCTCCCATGGGGGATGGGTGGGGACCATCCCTCCGTCCCACTCAGATACCGGGCTCTGGTTACAGACAGGCCAGTATCCAGAGCTTAGCAGCTCCTCCTTGTGTTACCAGCCAGGGGGAAAATCCCCTCTTTCCTGCCAGCCGAGCTAGTCACATCTTCACATGCACCTGCCTTCTCCGCCTTCTGGCTCCTTGGATTCGAATCCTTGGCCGTTACAGACGCAGGGCTGCCTGGATCCTGTGTTAACGAAAGACAGTCATTTTCCAAAAGGATGTCAAAGCTGGTGTCCTGGAGAACCTCAGCTACCAGCCATCCCGACCCCTCCTGTGTCTGCACAGGGATCCGGGCCATAGGCAGGGCAAGTGGCTTCATCCCGGGGACCTTCACCCAGGTCATATAGCCCCTCAGCATTGGCTGGAGTTGCACCACACAGGGTCTGACAAGGGGTCTCTGTGTCCCAGAATCTCCCCACCCCAGGAATGTCTCCCCCATTGACCACCTCCTTCCGCTTCCACTGGGAGTCCGAGGGGCCTGAGCCAATAGGGTACAACAGGACATGTGTACTGGGGCCTGGCGTGGGAGCCCGTCTCACCCCGTGCCCCCGAGGAGCTGGCTGCGTGGCTGTTTCCCTCCCAAAGTCCGTCACACAGTTCACTCTCGGAGCCTGGGCTACAGGCTGCCTCCCTGGGCCGGCAGAGGCTGAATTAGCCCATGTCCTAGGCATTCGCCAAGTTAACCCTTCGAGGGTTCTGCTTGGCCACCATTTCCTTGGTCTCTGGACATTGCGCCCACTTCTGCCCGCAGTAGTTACATCTCAAGTCCAGTCGCGTAGCCAAGGTCTAAGTGTAGGGGGAGCAAACAGAAAAAAGGCGCTCCCCCTTGGCTCCTCCCATTCCTCCCCCCCCCCCGATTAACCCCGGGG